ATGTGTGTTTCTTATAGCAGTTAAAATGTAGTCATTTTCTTTATTATTTATTTTCATTTTAATTCAGTGATTTTAACTTTTAATTTAGTTATTTTAATGCTTTAAAGAGCAATTTTAGATTGTAATGTTCTAATGTTCTGCTATCTGTTCTGCAAACTATAAAAGGTACAGCTGTAATAAAACCAGAGAGAAAGGCTGCATGGCTAGAAACTGTAAAAAAAAAAAAAAGTCAAATAATAGTATGTGAGACAGTGGTAATATCATTATGTTCCTATTGGTCAGTAAAGAAGCTTAGCTTAGCCTGACAGTTAGCCTGCTTTAAACCAGGTTAGTTTCCCAGCATAAGTTGCCACAGTGACTAAGCTTGATCTAGGCCTGTGTTAAATTTGCTTTATGGAACCAAATCATTTGGCAATGAGTCCGACTGAAACAAGCCTGGCTTATTTGGTTAACTTGTTTTATGAAGCAGGCCTCGAAGCATTAAAAGTGATCATATTTTCCCCATTGCATCATATTACATTGAAACGCATTGTGTTGAATCGAATCGGATTGCACTGCATCGTAATAGGGGTGAATCGTATCGAATCGGTAGCTGCTTCATATGTATCTTTAATGTATCGTATCGTTGGCTGTGCATTGAGATGCGTATCGTATCGGGCTGAGGCATGAGATGCACATCCCTAAAGCAGATAAACATCAAATTTTCATTTTTGGGTGAACTATCCCTTTAAACTAGCAAAAGTGGATTCGGACATGCCCTGAGTGCATCTGCGCCGTGCGCTTAAGACCATGCGCTTAGATCGTTAAAATAGGGCCCTATAAGTGAACCTCAGAGAACATTATAAAATAATTTTTAAAAATGCAGTTCATGACCCCTTTAATAACTGAATAAAGAAGCAAATATTGAGTCCATGGTTTTTCATCATGAGCAATTAGAAGAAGTGTCTGCAAAACAAGCAAATTCTTTTGAAAATAAAAAAACAAATAACAAATTAGACATGATGATGGGTTTATTCAAAAACACATTAAGCAATACACAACCTGTGTAGGCAATGTGGTAGCAAATCATATGAAATGTGAAACAATGGAACAAAAAACAACACGCATGACAAAAGAAAAAACCAGAGAAGGCAAAAAAGCAAGCAAACAAATGTAAATGTTTATGACTAATGTACACAGACAATATCTACTGGCAGTTCTGTTTTGGAAAATGGTGAGATATGGGATTATTGTGAATTCATATATGCCTGTATCAGATGCCTGTGTACATGTAAAGCTTCGACTGTGTGATTATGTCATGCTGATGTTTCAAGAATAAAGAAAATGTAGGACTCACTGGATGCTGGATCGGCCAGATAGCTGTAGCGCTTTCGCAATGCTAATGAGGCAAAGGTATGTCGTCGATCTTTGTCATTCTGCAATAACACAAAAGTAAAAATCCTATGTAAGAACAAAGTGACAAAAATCGTAGTGCAATGATCTTTTTAGTGGCCAACTACTACAATTTCATTTTGATTATTTTGAAAGCACTGTATCTACATTGGTCCAGATTTTTTCAGTGCATCTTTTGAAGGAGTTAATTCACGTGGTGAATTTAATTTAGGATATCGGTAAAATATTTAAATTGCTTTAGTTTCTGTAAGGATTCTAAAGAATGTTGTGCTTTATTTCACTTTCATATACGGTCTCCTGAGAGAGGATCAACTAGATAAGCACAGCTCATTTGCTAACAGTGTGAAAGTTTAGTATTTTCCAGTGAAACTGCCTAATTGCTTCAATTTGAAATAAAATTAAATACAACTTAAATCTGCAAAAGAGATATGTGAAAAATGTTTCCACCAAGCCACAAAATAACACAATGCTTTAAATATACTGATAAACTCAAAAAGAAGTCATGCACTTGCCTGACCAATGATGGGAGCTGGTACAAAATCTTTTGACTAATCACATAAATAAGCGTATGATCACATAAGCACCACATTAAAGGCATGTACCTCATCATCAGGATCTGACTCCATTTCCTAAAATTTCCCACGATGCATTGCAGCAATACATAATGGAGCAGCAGCAGCCGAGGATGGTGGGTAAGTGCAGATCATATTGGAAAGAGAGGAGATAAGAGAAAAGGAGTGGAAAGAGGACAGTAAAGGAATAGAAAAGATAATAAATGCAGATGCAGAGAGATTAAAAGGGAGCAAGACAAAAGGAACAGCAAAATAAAGTTACAGCTAAAGCAACAACACAAATAGCTCTGTGACATGTTTAATGTTTAATAGACTCCAGATAACACTAGAGAAAATGTCCCACAATGTGTTTTTGTCTGTTCTTACCTTCCTGTGTGTTGGCAGTGTAAAGTTAAGATTGCAGATTGCACTCTGTGGCAGGCTTTTTGCGATTTTAGGTTCTCTGAGGAATGAGATTCTACCACACGGCTCTTGGCCCATATCTCTGACCTAAAAAACACATCCATATACACAACACAGAATGACAAAAAGTCTTAAGATATAACTCCAGCCATATCAGTGTCCTAATAAATGCTGCTTTATTTTACATTGAGCTGAGCTGCCTCATGGGGTCTGTTATATTGCGGTCACATGACCAGCCAAATAAAATTATATGCTATACCTTTGCTATAGGACACTTTTTCTCATGAAATAAATAATTTATGGCTGACTGTGAATAGAGCATTTTTTTCAGTGGCACTGGCAACCGAAAACGTTTGTGTGATGCTGCATCCACATTGCTAAGTATCAATATAATGTCCAAGACATTTTGTTACATCTGCTAATGGAACACAAAAAAACCTTTAACTTTCTTTATATCTTCGATCAATAGAGTAAATATAACTTTTTGCATTTCATTTCAATATTCAGATTAAACTGTATAACTAATTTACTGGATAATACTTGTTTACTGAAATTCTGTAAGTGCATCCTTTATAGCTGAAAGAGTTAGGCCACTGTCACTCAAACCTTGACATTGAATGGGAGTCGGTTCTCTTTGAAGGCATAGAAGTTGAAGACGAGTTGCTGACCACTCTTTGCCAGAGGAGTGATGTTGCCGTAGCATTCTACATGAATGGGCTTACCCTCCAGAATCTGACAAAGGAACGAGTGACAAATCATAAGCATTTATACATTTATGTCTCTACGGTGTCAATAAATTATCAGAAGGGTTTGAATATGGGAGAATATGAATGTATGGGTGGCCTGTGAATTACAGAGGAATAAAGTTTGTTGTAACATGTTTCATGTTTTTTTCCATGGATTTTTTTATGTGTGTGTGTATATACAAGAATATTCACAAACTCGTGACTCACTGTTTCCAAACACTGAGAGCATGTTCAACGTTAATTATTTATGTGAACGTGTGTATAGTGTGTGCATGTGTGTAGGCTAGCGTGTGAGTTACAGTGGCACACCTCAATGTCTTTGCTCCTTGCCACCTCTTCAAAGTTCTCCTGCTGCTCCAGAGTTTTGTCGACTTTGTCGTCAGTCATGCAGAAGCAACGCAAGCGGGACTCTATAGGGTCGATCATTTTAGCAAACACCACAAACTTGGCCAGGTATGGAACGCAGATCATCTCTCTGTACAACTGAGATGCTAAACCCACTGTCTCACTGATCTGCTGACAGTCTGCCAACCAAAATCTACAAAAAAGAGTGGAAAGAATTTACCTAGAATAAGGAAAATGCTGTACAATTCTCAAATTTTCACAAATATTTACTTTCTCTGTTACAACTCCATGGGACCGAAAACCTTGTTTACATGATAGAAGTTTTGGAAACAAAATCTTTCAGTCAGTTGTCTTCAATACTGACACAAACAATGAATGTTTATACGAATGGTGATCAGTGGGTTGGTTGAAACTCAAAAATGGGCCGCAAATCTGTTCTGATATATTTATAGACATAAAAAAAACAATGTTAAATCCAAAAGCAAAATATATGACTACAGAAGCATGCATATTTAGAAAAATAAATGCTTATCTAAATGAAGCAGATAACACATAAAATAAGATGCCATCAAATCTACAATAAATACAGGTTTACTTGCAACAAGAATAAACATGGTTTAATTTAGCATATTTCTGAGCTTATACAGTAATGTCCATTCATTTCTATATTTGATTAAAAGAACAGTTTTGTAAGGAACTGACACTCACACACTGGAGAGTTACATAATTTAGAGAAATTTTGAGCAGAAACATTAGATCCCTCACAATGTTTATAGAAATGGAGTCTGTTCTTTAATGATCTTATGTAGACTTTCCTTTCCTCACTAACACTTTATTCCAGGCCACAGTCTGCAGTCATATTTGAGTTCAATCAGCATCTGACACTGTGGATGTGCAGATGAAAATGATTATAATGATATAATTTAAATTAGGGTAGAGATCGTCCACTGTCCCCCACTCCAAAGCACATGATTTGAATCTGCATCTGATACACTCCAACATCAGCTGAGACTAACCTGGCAGACACATTTGTGGTGAAGGAAACGCAGTCTGTGACAAAGGAGAGTGGAGTGGTCCCAGTGATGTCTTCCCACTGTGCAGGGGATGTTCCACCTAAAAACAAAACAGTTTAAAAACTGGTGTTGGGAATCACTTTCATCACCACACCCAAAAAAGGGTGCTTAACGATTTTTTGGTCCTTTTTATTCGATAGTAGTATGAAATTTAGTGTCACTTGCAAATGCATGTTTTATCTCAGATTTTTCCTGACTTTTAACTCTGTATACACAAAAGCAAACACGAATGTTGAATTTAAATTCAAATGGGGCATCTCAAATAATGTGCAGTTGTTGTTGCACCTGCAAATGCAGGTGACAAATGGACCATGACAACCTGACATTTTCCACATTTCATTTAAAATACACACACACTCAAACTATTCACGTGCCTGTAATGCTACAGAGCAGTCTAAGGCAGGGGGCAGGTTCTCCTTTGCGCCCGTTAGAAACAGCTTCTTTGGATCTGGGTGGCACAGGGATTGTCATGGTGATGGGCTTGTGGAATTTCCTCCTTCTGGGCTCCACGGTAACAATTGGACTGAAGGATGCACGGTTACCAGTGATAGTCCGCACAATGTCCTCTGGCACAGGCTGTGCCTGAGAGAGAAACAGAAAAAATTGGTATGATGTACAGGAGAAAAACATCTACAGTACATATTTTTCTGAACTAATGCTGTTTTTTTTTTTTTTAATCATGTCTAATAAACATTTTGCATAACCTGTCTAGGCATATGCAACTAATTAATCGTCCATTATGCATATACTGTAGCTTTTTATTGCTGTAGTCTTCTGACTTGTTTCTTTTGTTACATGTATATACTCTCAGTTTCTATGCTATGTTCATGAGATGTTTACCAGGAAATGCATCCTGACCACTGTTGTAACAGACAGATTCACTTTCCAAAGAACAGATGCTATTCTGCTATTATGTCTGTGTTCTGTGTGAAAATATTCTGCTACAGTGTGTGTGTGTGTGTAATAGAGAGAAAGAATGATCCCAGAGTCCCTTGAGATGACAAAACAGGCCAGATTTATGTAAATTGGTTAATTAATTTAGCTTATGAATCATTCACAATATTTTGTGAAGCAGTTATACTTATTTATTGAAAAAAACTGACTCAAAAGAAAAAAAATACTCGCAAACCAAAAATTATTATGGCTTGCAAGCAATTTTTAATCTATACAAGCTCTAAAACAAGATCAATATATATCTTAAATATTTTAAAATTGATAATAAACATAAACAAAAAATGACTGTAGAAAACACTGTTTTAAAATTCCCATATATTTCCAGGTATTCCATACAATAAAATAAAAAAATTAATTAAATAAATAATTAAAAACATAAGCTTGACCAAACATAATTTGACAACAACCATCTTGATAAGTCCTTATACCTGTAGTCCAACACGAATCTTCTTCGTAAGCGCTCCGTGAGGAAAGGCAGCTTTCACCATGGGAACCGCCTCACTGCTCAGGACTCCGCCCTCTGGTCCCATGTAATCACTTTCTTGTTTGATGCGTGACAACACTGCAAAGTACTGTGGGAAATCTTTTGTAATGATGCGGCAGATCCGTTTTTTCTCCAGCTCTGCTGGACTATCCATCTCTGTAATTACATATGAAAACACAAATAAACTAAATGATAAAGATTTAATGAAAACTACCTATAAGGTATTTAATGAAAACCATATTAGTCTGAAGTTTTAGTTATGTCATTACTACATTACCCTCATCCATGCCATTAAGGATCGAGGTGAGCTCTGTCACTTTACAGTCACAATGATGTTCTTTCCAGGTTTCTCCATTATCGCTGCGTAGGACAATCAGCTCCCTCTCCTTTCCCCGCATGGAGCCAAAATGAGGAATTTCAACTATCACAGGCCTGAAATGAAGTGAAGACAATAAGGGAAGAATTCAATAAACAGATGGGGAACTGCACCATGCAAACTGCATTCAGCACTAATTTTATGAGAATTTAAGAAGGAAATCCTGACATTACTCAATCTGAACTCATTCCCCATTGACATGTTTGTCAAAAAAGTTTAAAACTAATGCATTTAGGCCAAGATTATGTTGTTCATGAGTTATCTGCTTTAACTGTGAAACTACAGATAATTTAAGCCACCATGGAGGAATTCTTACCCCAAAAACTGTGCCCCAGCTGGCCCCATTTCCACCAGTCTGCTCACAAGTCCCTCTCCCTCCACCATAGGGGGTAGGTATGCCAAGCGGTGCCGTTTTGCTAGGCGGCAAGTAATTCTTGTTGGTGCTGAACACTTCCTGGGTGGAATTATTATACGCATCCCATCATGACGACTTCCTCTCATTGACCCACCCCGAGCATCCACCATGAAACTCACTAGGAACCTGCAAGAGAATACAGGATTAATGCAAGAGACAGAGGGAAGGACATGAAGAAAGAAAGAGGGACACCACGCTAACCCACTACACAGACATGAACGGGTGAAGAGACGATTCCCATGCTGTGATCACTGTACACCCAACACACGTGGTGAGAGAGAGGGAGGGAGGGAGAAGGGAAAGGTCTAAGCAGAAACGAAAAGGAGGAGAAACAGTAAGCAAGAACAGACCATTAAAGAGAGAGCGATAGAGACAGTTTAGTCAAGACAGAGGAAAAACAATTAAAAAGAGTGACAGTGCTTCGAGCTGTTAAACCTGGCAGCATTTCATCCCTCATACAACAGAAGCAGAGACACCTGAACAGGAAACACAAGGGATTCCTTCAATACTGACTTTCCAAATATTATCATAGTCACTGTACTCATGTCATGACTCGGTGTGCAATGGTGAAAATAATATCCTGTTTACTGCCAAGATTAATTGTTTCGAAGCAGTGATCAGTGATCAACAGTGTGACCAAAAGCACCTCCACAGGTGGATAGAAAACCCAAAACACCCTTTAACTGTTAATGTGAGCTGAATGCAATATATATTTGCATGTGTATTTCCACTGTGTGTTTGTTACATATACATGATGTCCTAACACTGATGACAAGGGCTGGACGATAAACCAAAAATTGACAACATATGGCAAGTCAACATATTGGTGATATTCAATATATATTAAAACTACCTTTGAAAGAAGTCTCTTATGCTTATCAAGGCTGCATTCGTTTGGTCACAATACAATGAAAACAGTTATATTGTGAAATATTATTATAATTTAAAAACATTTTCTATTTTAATACATTTTAAAATGTCATTCACTCCTGTGATTACAAAGCCTCTATAGTCTTCAGTGTCACATGATACTTCAGAAAACAAAATTGTAATCATGATATTTTAAGTGTGATATTTTTTCGGGATTCTTTTATGAATAGAAAGTTCAAAACAACATATTTTATTATAAATATAATTTTTTGTAACAATGCATTAGTCTTTACTGTCATTCAATCAATTATTTTTTTTTAAATACTGACCCCAAATTTTTGAATATTTGTCCTGATGCATTTCCTTTACTTAGTTTTTTATACTTACTTTTTTTTTTTGACAGAGGAACCATTTTGACAAAATATCCATTTAAAATGTTTAATGTAAGAACTAAAACAGTAAGCATCTTAAAAATAATAAAGGTATGTTTTTCCACACTATTTTCAAGGAATAAATCAATTAAAATCTCAAAGAATATTTAATAATTTTCTTTTATATGGGTCAGTATAACAATAAATAGTAACAAACTGCATTATTTACATATTTTTAATAAAACAAACATTTTTTATTCATGAGATATGCCACCTACAAGATTTACGTAAACATTACTGAGGGATGGCGCAAACAAAAATTAATTTCTCGAATTAGAGTACTAAATAAATTCAAAACATCACTGCGAAATGCCTACTTTAAATTTTAAAAATTATTACAAATATTCTGTTAATTTTCAACATATTGCCCAGTCCTACTGAAGAAATGATGCTGCTTCAACAAATAATTTCTAACTGTGAAATGAAGAACATTACCAAAAACCTCCCTTTCATCACAAAATGTCTAATGTGCTGATGGTGGAACTAAGTGTGTCTAATGAGTGATCTGAAGTTTATTTTATGACTATGCTGAAGTTGCTGAATTCTGAATGAGATGAGGTCCATTTCCCAAAGACCGACTAAACACACACAGTGTGGAGGAGTGCTCACACAGATGAGGAGATAAAACAGGGAATAAAACACCAGAGAGCAGGAAAGCAATAAAGAGTGAAAGTAAACAGGAGAGGACAGATGAAAATACGTGACAGAAAGCTATAGAAAGAGTGATGTCACCGGACTCAGTTTTCACCTGGAGTCATACTGAGGAAGCGGGGAGGAAGGGCTGCAAAAGGAAAAATTAACGAAAAGAAAAAAAGAACAGAAACCAGGAAGTAAAAAAATAAACAACATTCATTATTACAGTTGCTGTCATGGCAAAAATGCTGCCATACATGTAAGAAAGACATGAAGCTGATGTCAAAAATCAGATCTTATGTGCAATGTAGCAGAAAGTGTGGAGGGAACCTAAAGGAAAACAAAATGTGCTTTATGCAAACAACTCAATGAAGCCAATCAAAAGCTTTTCACATGCTTGCTCAAAACAGCATTATGTTTACTGATTGGTTGGATTAAATCATCTCCCACCAATCATAAATGGTATCATTATAATGTGCTAATGAGATGCTCATTAGGAGATATAGGTGGTCAAAAGCAGTACGTTTTAGCATTGAGATAAATGGGTATTCTAACAGAATTGCAATTCATTTGGTGCCACAAACAGAATTACATTTAATTTCTTCTATATAAAAAATTGTAACTAAATACAGATATGTAAAATAAAAAGGACTGAGCACTATTAAACAGTTTGGGGTCAGTAGGATTTTTTAAAGCAATCAGTACTTTCATTTCAGCAAGGATGCATTAAAAGTGATATTAAAGACATTTATAATGTTACAAAAAATGTATGTTTATATTTCAAATAAATGTTTTGGATGTTCTATTCATCAAGTATGTGAAATAAATGTTTCACTGTTTCCACAAGAATATTAAGCAGCATAACAGTTTTCAACATTTATAATAATAAGAAATGTTTCTTGAGCAACATATCATCATATTAGAAAATATTAAAAAATCTTACCGACCCCAAACTTTTGAACTGTAGCGTATATACATCATATAAATTTATATATCATAAATCGTAATCAAAATCTATTAATGTTGTGGTTACTAATGTGTTTGCATACTTAAAGTTAAACAACCATAAACACAAAAACATATTCTTACCCAGAATGCACTAGTTTCTAGTGCCGATCGGTCAGTGTTGATGCAGATCAAGTGTGATATCTTATAGCAGTGCAGTGGCACACACATATAACACATAACCTGTGGCAAAATACACATAAACAATTTTAATTATATTTTTCAGTACTGAATTCAATTACACTTAATTTACATTTATTGGAAACAGCTTTAAAGGACATGCATATTTCTACATTACAATCAGAGGTGACTGTCAAAGCAATGTCCATATTACAGAAATGCACAGTATTGAATGAAATAAGTATATTTATAATCAATTATAAAAAGTTGTTGTTATCGCTAACAATAACTATTAAAATCTTTTTTTTCATTTTAAATCTGAAATAATATATAAATATAAGAAAAATTACATGAAAATTAGAAATAAAATAAAACAACTAGGTTGAAAACAAAATAGAATATTTAAAATATATTGAAATATTAAAAATTTAAAAATTTTAAAAACTAATAAGCACAAAAAATTAACAAAATGAAAACTAAAAAATTAAATTTAAATGAAAATATAAAAATAAAATCTAATTCAAAATATTTATAAATGCTATAAAACAAAATAATAATACAACACTTATTATAAATATAATTTCTTTACTTTATCCACTTTATTTTTTACTTCATCCATCATCTTTGATGTATTCATGCAATCTGGGATTGCCGTAATAACTAAGGATAAAGAAAAAACTTAAATAGCAGCATAATTTGTTTCATAAGTTTTGAAACAGGTTTTGCACCTACAGTATGATGCCTTAATATGCTGCCTATGAAGGTAACTCACTACGGTTTGTAACAACACGGTAGTGTGTGTGTGTGCGTGCTTTCTGGAAGTATGACGTAGAGTATAACACAGCCGCTTTTCCACCTTCAGAGCGAACCATTCTAAGAACGGTAAGGAATGGTTATATATTTCCACTTGAGCTTGGTTCGGCACAACATGATTACAAACCGTTCTTGGTCCGTAATTCTCAGCACGGTTGACTAACCGTGCTGAACTTTGCTGGTAGAATGTGTGTAGTGATGTTGCCACTCAAGATTGGTCACTTGTTTGTTGCCTGGCTACCAGTTTCTCTCTGTAGCTGGCCAAGTGTACTATCTGAGCTAAGTAAACAGAAATATCTGATCATAATGCGGTCGCTATTTACATCTCATACCATCTGTAAACACTTGCCTTACCACGGCAACGACTGATGCATTTGTATTACAAGCTCTGTTATCAGCCCCACAGTGGAAAATGAAACCATATTTGTACTGGCTGGGCCGGATGGGCCCGAAACAGAACAGTTAAGCAACGAGAACGGTTTGGCCTGACGGTGGAAAAGCGGCTACAGTACTGAATGAGAACAAGACAATGAAAGCCACAGATGAGAGTAATAAAGAGAGTGGGCGTTCTTACCGTGTCTTTGGTGGGCACCAGCATCTCTTCAATCATCATGCTGTCCCGAGCGAAGGAGCTTCTGTTCAGAGTGTTGGACCTGTCTGAGCTGAAGGAGCGTAGACTGGAGTGTGTAAGAAGTTCACACATGTGCACACGCACAAGCAGATACACATAAACAAAGTGAAAGACACACAAACGGGGACAGACAAACATAAACAAAACAAAAACACTAAAGTTACAACATGCAACATCCAGGGAGAACAAAATCAAACCCTTCAGGAGAGAGGAGAGAAGGGGATATCTGATGGATAGAGAGGAAACAGACATGTAGAACAGATGCTGTATGGGCAACATTACTGTAACTGTAACATTGAAATGATTTAGCCAGATACAATACCATTCAAAAGTTTGCGGTTGGAAAGAATTTTTTGTATTTTTGAAAGAAGTCTCTTATACTCACCAAGGCTGCATTAATTACAAAAAAGTAATATTGTGAAATATTATTACAATCTAAATAACTGTTTTATATTTTGAATTTGTTATTGTGTAATCTATTATAGCATTAATTTCTTTAAAAATATCTTACTGACCCAAAACTACTGAAAATTTGAACTGTAGTGTATATCTAAATTAACAGGTTTTACGCTTTGTATGCTAGTGCTACTTACATCACCAAGGCTGCATTAATTACAAAAAAGTAATATTGTGAAATATTATTACAATTTAAATAACTGTTTTATATTTTGAATTTGTTATTGTGTAATCTATTATAGCATTAATTTATTTAAAAATATCTTACTGACCCAAAACTACTGAAAATTTGAACTGTAGTGTATATCTAAATTAACAGGTTTTACGCTTTGTATGCTAGTGCTACTTACACGTAACTCGATTCTTGAGTGGTACTTGAATCGAGTACCATGCCAGGGCATTGAAAGAATCTCACTGTTATCTCGATCTCATTGCTAAGCTGTTCTAATTGTGTTTTAATGCATTGATTTGTGGTTGTTATGCTGTTTCGGGTGGTTGTTAACAGCACTTAGAAGTAATAGCAATCACACACCTCTCCTAAACAAATCGCAAATTTGTGGTATCATTTATGTCAATATAACAAAGAAGTGCAGGTCTAGCTATGTGCCGAGGTTTAAAGGGATAGTTCACCCAAAAATAAAAATTCTGGGTAACACTTTATTTTAAGGTGTTTGTGTTACACATTACATGTACTTACTATTATAATAACAATTAATTATTAGGTATGCACCGAATGTTCGGTAACTGAAATTATAAGCGAATAAGCGAAAAGAATAAGAATAAACTGTACCGAACAATGACGTGACGCGATCAAATAGCAACCAGCGTAAAGTGAGAGGCGTGCACGCTTTATAATGCAGTAAACATGTCAGCAGTGTGGAAGCATTTAAAACTGTCCCGAGAAAGACGCAAAAATCATTACAAGCACCGACAGCGAGAGACTGTTTAGTGCTGCATCACGTCTTCAATGAGAAGAGGAAGGGGTGATTGTTGCTGGTTTCTGTATGATGACTGAATTCGTGAAATGGCCTTAAACAATTAGTAAATAAACTGCATAACATTATGTTTTCTAATACACACACAAATTGCATGTATTCTGACAGTGCTGCACGAGCTTGCGGCGGATCTGCTTGTTAACCAGGGCTCAAAGTCCAAAGCGTGAGGAAAATCCGCACTGAAATAGTGTTACTCATCAGTTGTTTAGTCACATTTGTATTTTTGTATTGTAATTTTTTACAAGGCACTTGACAATGCGATACGTGCGACGTATTCGTAATGAGACTAATTTATAAATCTTCTGTGCTGAGGTCTTCCTGCGTGTTTCCGCCAAAATAAAACTCCATCAACATTCATAAATGTTAGTATTGTAATTTTATTGTTGTTCTGTAAAATAAAATAAAAAAGACAATAATAATGATAAAAATAATTTCAACAGCTCTGTTAATACATTTATTATAACATTCACACATAGTGTTCAAATTGGGATCTGTAATATTTTCTAATGTTTTAAAAGAAGGCTCTTCTGCTCAGCAAGGCTGCTTTTATTTTGTATAGTAAAAAATACATGCCTGATTCAAGAAGGAGGTCTTATGGCCAAAATTTTTTATTTTACTAACTTATTCATTTTAAGTTAAATTGTGCTTTGTTGGTATAATGTCTGCTAGAATGTTAAAAAATGTTCAGTGTTAAATATTTTTAAATTGATGTTTTGTAATTGATTTTTTCTTTGAAAAGCAAGACAAAACAGTAAGCGAAAAGAATAAGAATAAATTCATGTTCTCATGTTCATAGTCTTCCTCTCAAGAGATTGCATAATGCTGAATTTTCATGAACTGCAATGTTTTTGGTTTTATGTCAGTGTTTATGATACATTATATACAGTATTATATTTGTTTTAACTGTATAAATTTGCAGTTTAAATAATATTCATGAAAAATGTAATGAAATTAAAACAATTATAAATCATTATTCAGCAAAAAAAGAATATAATAAATAAAAGCACAAGTTGTTGGAAAGTATGCATAAGGTGTCAATTATAAGTAAGTACTCTGTTAAAGCTTATAATAGCACCAATTGAATCAACACAAACAACATTTCTGAGGAAAAATATTAATTATAAGTAAGCTTACACTTATTCTAAGTTAGATCCACTATTGTAAGCTGTTGCCGTATGGCAACATATCATAAAGTACCTTAAAATAATATTTTTTTCAAGTTAAGCCATTCTTAGAAAAGAAAAAGATTCAAATATTTTTTCTATAGGTCTATCATAATGCGTGCGGTAGATTAATTTGTGATCCGAAGGAAATGGCCTTAAACAATTAGTAAATAAACTGCATAACATTATGTTTTCTAATACACACACAAATTGCATGTATTCTGACAGTGCTGCACGAGCTTGCGGCGGATCTGCTTGTTAACCAGGGCTCAAAGTCCAAAGCGTGAGGAAAATCCGCACTGAAATAGTGTTACTCATCAGTTGTTTAGTCACATTTGTATTTTTGTATTGTAATTTTTTACAAGGCACTTGACAATGCGATACGTGCGACGTATTCGTAATGAGACTAATTTATAAATCTTCTGTGCTGAGGTCTTCCTGCGTGTTTCCGCCAAAATAAAACTCCATCAACATTCATAAATGTTAGTATTGTAATTTTATTGTTGTTCTGTAAAATAAAATAAAAAAGACAATAATAATGATAAAAATAATTTCAACAGCTCTGTTAATACATTTATTATAACATTCACACATAGTGTTCAAATTGGGATCTGTAATATTTTCTAATGTTTTAAAAGAAGGCTCTTCTGCTCAGCAAGGCTGCTTTTATTTTGTATAGTAAAAAATACATGCCTGATTCAAGAAGGAGGTCTTATGGCCAAAATTTTTTATTTTACTAACTTATTCATTTTAAGTTAAATTGTGCTTTGTTGGTATAATGTCTGCTAGAATGTTAAAAAATGTTCAGTGTTAAATATTTTTAAATTGATGTTTTGTAATTTTTTCTTTGAAAAGCAAGACAAAACAGTAAGCGAAAAGAATAAGAATAAATTCATGTTCTCATGTTCATAGTCTTCCTCTCAAGAGATTGCATAATGCTGAATTTTCATGAACTGCAATGTTTTTGGTTTTATGTCAGTGTTTATGATACATTATATACAGTATTATATTTGTTTTAACTGTATAAATTTGCAGTTTAAATAATATTCATGAAAAATGTAATGAAATTAAAACAATTATAAATCATTATTCAGCAAAAAAAGAATATAATAAATAAAAGCACAAGTTGTTGGAAAGTATGCATAAGGTGTCAATTATAAGTAAGTACTCTGTTAAAGCTTATAATAGCACCAATTGAATCAACACAAACAACATTTCTGAGGAAAAATATTAATTATAAGTAAGCTTACACTTATTCTAAGTTAGATCCACTATTGTAAGCTGTTGCCGTATGGCAACATATCATAAAGTACCTTAAAATAATATTTTTTTCAAGTTAAGCCATTCTTAGAAAAGAAAAAGATTCAAATATTTTTTCTATAGGTCTATCATAATGCGTGCGGTAGATTAATTTGTGATCCGAAGATGAACGAAGGTCTTATGGGTTTGAAACAACATGAGGGTGAGTAATTAATGACAGAATTTTCATTTTTGGGTGAACTATCCCTTTAACACTTAATGCGAAAGGTTTTGAAAAAACCCTAATCCATGAGGAACAGTTATATCAAGCACCTCCAATAAACTGACACTTTGAACAAGTACTTTTCAGCTCAGATCAAATTTACGACTACATGTGTGAGTGTGTGCACCCTTCTGCAGTACTCTGAAAAAAACACCTGGATCTCTGCAGGACAGCAGTCTTGGGTTGGTTGCACAGTGTGTGTATGAGAGAATGAAAATTCTACAGCAGTCAGCAGGATTTAAAGGTATAGCACTGTAGCGCGCACAGCAGAACTGAACACGAGGGTGTGTTTACGAAAGAAACAGTGTCGGTTTGTGAGCTAGTTTTTGGATGAATGGATTTACAACTCTCTTTCCATTCCTTCCTCTCATCTTCTAGCACTTCAGCTTAATTTGTCCTGATCTGCATTGATTTTATGGTTCTGTAGCATTACAGCAGCCAACTCACCCTTCTCTGCAGCGCACACTCTTTCATTTCTTCTTTCATTTTCTTTCATCTCTTTTGCCTTTCCTTCTTCATCATTCTCCTTCTTTGCTATGCACTTCTTTAAAATGATCTCACTCTGAACAGAGCCAGCATTGTATAAGAAGGCTGTACTATGGTTGTGTGCATTTGCATGCATGTGAAACAGCATACAACAAATAAATTAAGAGGAATAATTGTTCTCTCACCCTTACAGGCTAAGTTATATTCTAATCATTTGCCTCCTACCTCACATTCTATGACCAAGCTGTGTGAATGTGTGTGTGTTTGAGCACACAATGTGGATTAACTATCCTCTCTGTACTTTTCTATGAAAAGCACACTAGTGATCATCATAACCAAACATGCTTAGAACACCATATCTTTTTTTTTTTTGCAATAAAATTGACCTGTGATCAATGTGGTGAGTAATGGGCAATGAAATGTGCCGTCAGCGATGTGACAGAGTAATTGGCTTCAACTGCTGACTGATCAGCTTGAAGCTTTTGTCCCTGGATGTTACATAGAGCATCACACAACTGAAACAACAGCAAAACACAACATATATGAACATAATCCATGCCACACTAAACAAAAACTTATAAAGAACCAACACATAATAGTTAGCACACTATTCATTAATATTTCAGAAATTAATAACATTTAAAACCACAATTTTTCACAACACACAACTACTGCCCACTTTTCCTGTTGTTTAAACACTCCTTACATCTTTTGCATTTATAAACTTCCTTCAAAAAGGTTAGATGGCTTTAGTGTGACCGATAAGAAGCGTGTTCAGCTTCGGAGCCGGATAGAACAAATAAAACGTCAATGCAAGAGAAGTTCATAGACTAAAACTCCAGTTGAGATGCATGAATTTGTTCTATCAGGCCGAGTAGCTCAGGCCTCAGTGTATGAAAGGGATGAGACTCCACAGAAACGCACTGCACCAGATGACACGGTGGAGCGGGGCATGATGGGAGTTGTAGTATGTATGGAAAGGGGCAGAGACAGAAACGACAGTTACGGAGAGAGAAGGCGAAATGCACAGAGAGAGAAAGACATCACTCTTACCTTATCCTGGGGCTAGAGAGAGTGAGAGAAGCCAAGAAAGAGAAAAGACAGTAAAATGTACTGGACGTGGCAGAAGCAGTGAGAGTTAAGCATGGCGCTGAGGCTCTGCCACAGCATGTGTTGTGCTCCTAGACAGGACTGGGTGTGCGTTTGGTAAAAACAACCAACATTAGTAGCCCTATGTAAGAGCAAACAATGCCAGGCTGATGTTAACAAAACAAAAGAGGTAGAAAATATGAAGCTTTGTATGGCAGAATATCATCCATGAGATATACAAACATCATCTAAACTCCAATAATAACAATCCAAATAGCACAAATATTTCTAAAAAAATTAAAACTTATTTTCAGACATGAAACAGTGTGTCTTACCTTGGCTAGGCAGCTGGGATACTGAGTATTTTGCAAATGACGTAATTATACCAATAATCTATACAGCTAATTTGACTCACATTTGACTATTTAATGCCTCTTGTGCAAGCAAGTCGTACTGTCAATATCCAAATGCAGCAAACCATAAAGCTGATTCTTCCCTCTGAGCTACACTAGCGTTCTGAGCACAAAATTTAAATGATCAATCCATCATAACTAAAGGCGACTCAAGGTCTGCATCCATCAGATCACACCTTCACGTTCACACAAACAGTTACTCTCTTTCCAGACTTCGTCACTCAGCGTTCCCTTCCCGGTAATGACGTAATTGTTTTCAGTCTTTTATTGCCTGTCCTCGAACTCTATAACCACTGGCACACAAAAGCCAGCCAATCAGAACTCACTGTCCTGTACAATAACAGCAAATCAGGCTCCATTGTGCCACATAATGCTCGCATGACAGGAGTGGCACCTTTCCATCCTATTGTCCCACCTCTCCCTCACCTGCTATGTTCATCATCCATCAGCCACGATGAACTGATAATGACCTCTTAAATGAGAGAATGGGATGTACTTCAACACAAAACACCACAGATGTGCATCTTCTGCCCTAAACTTTTCTGATAAACTTAATTTAATACAAATTTAATACAAACATTTTGTGATCTGATCCAATTTGGCATATGGTTATATGGATGATGGTGCTTACAAGGACATCATGTTTGTTATGATGAAGATCCATTTGATCATGTTCCATTAACAATAAATTAGGCCTGTAATTAGCCATTTGAGCATCCTTTACGCTTTAAGAACTTACAGCCATAATCCTCTTTACAAAGTCTATTTACACTTGATATCTTCAATAAATCTTACATTTCATTCATTTTTCAGGTTGTGCATTGTACTAATATCTCTGTTTCAACAACAACGTAGTACTCTTTTGTTACTTTAAAACATTTCAATGATTTTATATTTGATAAAAATCAGAGTTTACAAACACCAGTTACTGTTACAAATTCTGCAAAAGTTGCCCAGCTGTGGAACGTAAGTTTTAGCTGAAGTGGCCAGTGGGATAACTGCATAATGTATGCTCTTTTTAAATATTAAATACTGTAAAATATTAATGTCTGCGCTAAAAGTATAACAGGTGTTTTTCTGTTATAGCTTGACGACCTGTTTAAACCTGCAAAACAGTTTTGTATAGTTTAATAAAATGTTCAAGTCTATGTCGCACAAAATGACGTTTATGTAGACAACTCTCGAGGATTTGAGACACAGCCAACATCTTTTCCGAATCTCTCTCAGAAACGCGACTCTTGCTTGTCCTCTCTCTCCGTGCTGCAGCCCCTCCCCTCCCGCAACTGAACACCTCCGTTTCTCTAACCGGCTCGCTAATACCTTCCTACTCCGGTACCGAATTAACGCTTAATGACAACGAACAGTCATGACAAAGACTAATAGAGGACCATGTGTAAAAATAGATGGCACTGTATTTGACGTCATTCTGAGTTTTAAAAGTGTACATTTAAATAATAATTAAATAATCCGAGCAGCATCCAGCCGTATTAAATACTGTAAAATATTAATGTCTGCGCTAAAAGTATAACAGGTGTTTTTCTGTTATTATTTGCATAACAGTTTCTCATAGTTTTATCCTGTCATCTAAAAAAACACTTGTGTCATGCACACTTTAACTTGAATGACACACGGTGAGTTGAATTTGTGTAGGGAACAGTTTCCAGAGAACTAAAATCGTAGCTTAAATACTGTAAAATATTAATGTCTGCGCTAAAAGTATAACAGGTGTTTTTCTGTTATTATTTGCATAACAGTTTCTCATAGTTTTATCCTGTCATCTAAAAACACTTGTGTCATGCACACTTTAACTTGAATGACACACGGTGAGTTGAATTTGTGTAGGGAACAGTTTCCAGAGAACTAAAATCGTAGTGTTTATTTCCAGTAAACAACAAGATATGAAGATTGACAGCGCTGAATGCAAAATAAATCTGACCGAGATTTGATTATCCCTCATTCCTCATGTTTCCAACCTTCTTTTATCTTGAAGCATTATTATTAATGCAGACTAAAAGCCAATACACGAAGACAGTACTAACACTTTTAGTGAAGACCACCTGAACACCTGAATCCTCCATCTAAAAACACCTCCAAAAAGCCATCTACTTGTGCCATAGCAACTCCATATACATTTGCTACTCATAGAGAACCAGCATAAGGAACAAACAGCTTCGCAAATAAGCAAGCATCCATACATAAAATGTAAATGACTGCTATTACCTGGCAGAGCGGGCTCCAATACTGAAACCCATGTACCCCTCCTGTGGCAAGGAGTCATCCCCTAACTCCCTCAGGTCCTGTGGCCGAAGATACTTCTCAGTCTCGCCGGTCATCGCATCTTCACCTGCAGGAATGAGACAGGCCGAAGGTTAGCTCACTTGAAGGTGAACTGGTAAGGTGACCTATCAGTAGCTGCGGCAATTATTTCCCCCCATGTTGCTCTAATTAAATAAACCCCAAAGTGACTTACTTCAGAGCAATCTGAAGTTAAGTGTCTTGTTCAAATGCACAGTGGTAATAAATTGTGGTTCATTTCTTGTGGGGTGAACCTACCAGTCCATCTTGCGTCACGCAAACATCCAGCTTGCAGCTTCTAGATTATTAATTGATGTCACGTAACACCTGGGTGTTTTTCTGTCCCACCGTGAATAACAGATACTTAGGTGGCAATATTTCACTGACTATTAATAGAAGAAACATTATGCTGCATCAGGACACCACACCACTGCGTCTCCTGCTATGAAGCAAGTTTCCATTACACCCTCTTAAACCTGATAAAAAAATAATAATTAAAAAAAAGCAGCTACAACCAGCAAAGGCTGGTTTTACTAGTGTCTCAGCATGGTCTGTTTGCTAGTTTTAGAAGGGTCCGGGGCACTTTCATGCAGGTCAAACTGGGACTTCAGCTTAAACCAGGTAAGACCAGTAACGTTAAATTATCTTAGGCTGGCATTCTTATGTTCTTTAAGCTGTTTTTAAAAGCAGGGAACATTTGAAATAATTTATATCAATTTAATTTCAGAAATTACATTTTCAAATAACAAATTCACAAATATGATAACCTGTATCTGATTTTATTGTTTTATGAAAATAAACAAACCGTTTGAATCAATCTATAAGACTGTTTGCTGGTCCGTTGACTAGTTTTAAGTGGGTTTGGGGCACTTTTCAGATGGTCAGATAATTAGCTGCAATATGGAGAGGCGTGTAGCCATTCTAAAGAGAATGAGAAAAACAAGATGCAAAGACACAGACATTTTTAAATAGAAATACTATGCAGGCATGCGATCATCTTTTCTTGTTTTTTTCCCCAAGTACTTTTCTTGATTACACAAACCAATCAGGATTTCTCAAATTTAGCAAAACAGAGACTGTAAGAAGTATCCAAGCTCTTAATTCCCCTCAAATTCCAAGCCTGTTACCATGGTGACTACTTTAACATTACTCTAGATATTCCAACTCTGGGATATCCCAAAATGCTAGCCATGAAATTTGGATCTGCAAAATCATATAATTATTTAATCTATATTTTTGTATCGTTTACCAAAAAAATATCTTAAAATGCTATAAACAAGATAAATTTACCCGAGAAAATACTTTTTTCTTTGAGCAGTAATCAAACATGCAAATGGTGATGGAAAAATATGAGATTGAAGGAAAAATTATATTTCAATGCATTTGCATTTGCTCTACATCATTCTATCTAAATAAAGACAAAATCATTGGGAAAAAAATATTTAAAAAAGAATACACAACTTTTGCAATGCAAAAGCATTGAAATATACATATTTTCTCCAATCACATTTTTTTCCATCACCATGTCCCTGTAGGGGCTCCAAACTAAATTTAGTGATATTTGCTTAAAACAGAAATAAACTATTTGAAAATGAAAAGAAAAACAAACTTAATGCAAGATATATTCTTTGACAATTTGGTTTCTCAGGTAAAATTGTCTTGTTTTTTTTATACATTTGTTTCAGCTATATGTTTACTAGACCACAGTTTAGTTTAGTTTAATTTACTTATAGAGTTTATCAGATTTCCTGCAATTTAACATCAACTTTTCAGCTAGAGACTTTATGAAATCCTCCACAGATGTAATTTGAACATGACAACAAAGTCACAAACATTGTGACTCTTGAGATATGATTTATGTTGCCCTGTCATCCTGTGCAGCCAGGTGCAGCGGCGTGAGACCATTCTGATTATAAACACACACAGTGAGTCAAATTAATACGAATTCTCAACCGTGTGCTATGTGCGTGTGTAATATGCATATGTAAGTATGTTTACCTTATTGCCCATATTAACATTAGCCTGTTTGGTGAGAAGCAAGGACACGAGGTCTACACTGCCCTCCTGTGCGGCGAGGTGGAGGGGGCTGATGCCCTGACGGGTCACTGTGTTACACTCCGCCCCATACTCCAACAATGTTGTCCCAATCTCCAACTGATTCTTCTTAGCTGCAATATGGAGAGGCGTGTAGCCATTCTAAAGAGAATGAGAAAAACAAGATGCAAAGACACAGACATTTTTAAATAGAAATACTATGCAGGCATGCAATCATCTTTTCTTGTTTTTTCCCCAAGTACTTTTCTTGATTACACAAACCAATCAGGATTTCTCAAATTTAGCAAAACAGAGACTGTAAGAAGTATCCAAGCTCTTAATTCCCCTCAAATTCCAAGCCTGTTACCATGGTGACTACTTTAACATTACTCTAGATATTCCAACTCTGGGTTAATCCAGTAACCCAGTCTCGATAAGTTGGAGTGTGTGTGTGTGTACCTTCGCAGCAGAATGAGGAGATGTTCCCTGGTCCAGTAGAAACAGAGCCACTCTCTGATTATCATAGTGAGCAGCCACATGCAGCGGAGTTAACCCAGTCTACAATATACACACAGACCCCAGCACGTTCACACAAGCAGACCCCAGCACAATCACAAACACCAACATGCATGCACACATACACACAAACACAGGATGCATGCATGCATGCCAGCACATACAGTTTTACTTGTAATGGAGTAATATTTGACCAGCAATATCTGTACTTTCACTCAAGTAATGGAGTTGAGTACTTTGCCCGCCTCTGATGTAAGGTCACTAATTGTTACACTAGGTCTTCTATGACAAACAGCATGGAAGGGTTAATCCAGCAACCCAGTCTCGATAAATTGGAGTGTGTGTGTGTACCTTCGCAGCAGAATGAGGAGATGTTCCCTGGTCCAGTAGAAACAGAGCCACTCTCTGATTATCATAGTGAGCAGCCACATGCAGCGGAGTTAACCCAGTCTACAATATACACACAGACCCCAGCACGTTCACACAAGCAGACCCCAGCACAATCACAAACACCAACATGCATGCACACATACACACAAACACAGGATGCATGCATGCATGCCAGCACATACAGTACATGGGTGTGCACATGGGTGGGTGTATACACACACACACACACACACACACACACACACACACACACACACACACACACACACACATACACACAGACACACCATGTTAAAGTTAGAGGGAATAACTCCCAGCAAACCACATTAAGCTAGTACCATGAGTTCACACTTAGTATGAAGCGAAAAAACACCTTTCACAAGATGAGTGTGTCTTTCCTTAACACAGATTAAAGGAATAGCTCACCCAAAAATGTGAAAATTTACTCACCCTCAGATCATCCAAGATTTAGATGAGTTTGTTTCATCATTGGAACAAATTTGGAGAATTTTAGCATTACATCATTTGCTCACCAATAGATCATCTGCAGTGAATGGGTGGCGTCAGAATCAGAGTCCAAACAGCTGATAAAACATCACAATAATCCACTGCAACTCTCGACTCGACTCCAGTCCTTCAATTAATGTCTTGTTAAGCAAAAAAGCTGCATGTTTGTTATGTAACAAATCCATCAAGACATTTTAACTTGAGACCGTCGCTTCTGGTCAAAATATGAGTCCATAATCCATAATAACTCATATTTTAATCATAAGCAATGGTTTGAAGTTAAAAATGCCTTGACATAAAGATATGAAACAACACAACATGAAGCTTTTCGTGTCACAAGACATTAATTGACGGGATGGAGTTGTGTGGATTACTGTGTTTTTTCAGCTATTTGGACTCTCATTCTGACGGCACCCATTCACTGCAGATGATCCATTGGTGAGCAAGTGATGTAAAGTTAAATTTCTCCAAATCTTTTCCAATGAAACAAACTCATCTACATCTTGGATTTCCTGAGGGTAAGTACATTTTCAGCAAAAAATGCATTTTTGGTTAACCCACTCCTTTAAGCTTCTGTGTCATATTTTCTTATCTGTATTGTTGTACTTATTAAAAAGCTTAATCTATGTTAAGGAAACCAGACCCCTCATGACAGCACAGCTGACTTAATGACACACAGGAAAATCAGCAAAACTGGTCAGCTCTGTGAGTCTCTCAATAAAGCTAGTTGACAGTCATACTATGTAGCGCAAGAATAGTGAAGAAAGGTTAACATAGATGAACAGATGATGACAAATGAAGGCCCTGTCCCAAATGACGCCCTTGGCCCTTGTGGTTTAAGGCGTCACGGTTTGTCTGGTTAGCTTGGCCCAGTTAGACCCTGCTGGTCGATGTTGTAACTACACCATCTGGCTACAAAAATCAGGCTTCTTCATTAAAGGGAATTCAAAAAACGCCATGTTATCTGACTATTTTTTTGTAAGTCTCATTCTGACGGCACCCATTCACTGCAGATGATCCATTGGTGAGCAAGTGATGTAAAGTTAAATTTCTCCAAATCTTTTCCAATGAAACAAACTCATCTACATCTTGGATTTCCTGAGGGTAAGTACATTTTCAGCAAAAAATGCATTTTTGGTTAACCCACTCCTTTAAGCTTCTGTGTCATATTTTCTTATCTGTATTGTTGTACTTATTAAAAAGCTTAATCTATGTTAAGGAAACCAGACCCCTCATGACAGCACAGCTGACTTAATGACACACAGGAAAATCAGCAAAACTGGTCAGCTCTGTGAGTCTCTCAATAAAGCTAGTTGACAGTCATACTATGTAGCGCAAGAATAGTGAAGAAAGGTTGACATAGATGAACAGATGATGACAAATGAAGGCCCTGTCCCAAATGACGCCCTTGGCCCTTGTGGTTTAAGGCGTCACGGTTTGTCTGGTTAGCTTGGCCCAGTTAGACCCTGCTGGTCGATGTTGTAACTACACCATCTGGCTACAAAAATCAGGCTTCTTCATTAAAGGGAATTCAAAAAATGCCATGTTATCTGACTATTTTTTTGTAAGTACTTTAAACAAATATTTCATTACATTAGAGTAAATGTTTGACCAGTGCCCTATTTTTTTCTGACTTTTGAGGACTAATGGGACACCCCATGAACAAGCATGAGTGAAGTCCACATCACCATTTGGGACAGGACTAAGATGTGTTATGTAAACAAATGTAAACTGCCATGCATATATGGGCATATTTGTAGATGTGCTTGTGCATGTTGTTGTGTGCATAATGTTGCATGATGGATTTGTTTACCAACCTTTCCTGCTGCATCCGGCGCAGCTTTTTTCTGCAGCAGAAGATTGGCCACTTCCAACTGCCCATACTTTGCAGCCACATGCAGGGGAGTGAACCCCTTCTGTGGATGTATATGCGGGAACAAAAGAAGGGGAGAGAACAAAAAAGGGTGAAAAAGATCCATAGTTTTGTTATTTTCATTAGGACAGAGTCAGCTTAAAGGATAAACAACTATGCACAAAAACCACATATGTCTCTAATGTTCACTTTGTCTCTTTATTTATTTAATCAAAAAAGCAGCCATTACTCCAGTCTTCAGTGTCTCATGATCCTTCAGAAATCATTATAATATGCTGATTTGGTGCTCAAAAAACATTTCTTATTATTATCAATAATGAAAACAGTTATGCTGCTTAATTTTTTATTTTTTGGAAAACATGTGAAAAACATTTTTTTTCAGCATTATATGATGAATAGATAGTCATTTATTCTTTATTTATGTAGTCATTTAATCTTTTTTAAAATTATAAATGTCTTTACTGTCACTTCTGATCAATTTAATGCATACTTGCTAAATAAAAGTATCCATTTCTTACCAAAAAACTTGTAGTGACTCCAAACGTTAATGAATCTTTTCTTCATTTTACATCATAACTTCTTTGGTTACATTTTTCCTAAAGTCCTAAAACTTTGCTAACATCCACATTTAAATTAGATTTTAAATTCCAAATGTTTACTGTGGTCTCAGACTTATGAGCCCCACTGTATGTGGTCACACAGTACAGACACATACACACCTTAGTTGCTGCAGAGAGGGATGTTCCCTGCTCCAGCAGGAGAGCTGCTATCTCCTGATGACCCTCACGGGCGGCAAGGTGGAGAGGGGTGTAGCCAGAAGTGGTGGCAGCATTGGGTAACGCCCCCTTCTGCAGCAGCTGCTGCACAATCTCCCCCTTTCCCAGACGGCTTGCTATATGCAGGGCTGTTTGGTCATCCTAAAAATTGTCATTATGGGAATAGAAAGTGAAAGAGAGAGACAGTGATGAGAGGCAAATCTGAAAATCTCATTTATCATCTGTCATGTTCTAATTATGTGTGTGGTGGGATGTGGACAGTGGTTTATTCAAATTTGAGCTAAGGTGTGTGTCTCACCTTGGCTTTGATGTCCACTTTAGCACCACTCTGTAGCAGGTATCTGACAACATCAACCTGGCCGGCCCTTGCTGCCATGTGCAATGCTGTTTCACCTCTCTATAACACAACATTTGATGAAGTGCATGTGAGTTGTAAGCTTTAATATATTAATACAAAATTAATTTTAAACTCATCAGTACATAATAATATTGTGTGATGGAGTATTTCTAATGAAAGAAAAAAATCAAAGAAGTCTATGAATTTTATTATGCATAAAAAATGTATCAAAACTTTAAATTAAATAAAAAAATATACATTTTATATTGATTTTCTCATTCACACTGCAATCACATTTTACATATATTAAGAACAATTATAATTATAAAAATTATATTAAGAAAGCATTTTAATTTAAAATATCCACCTCAAAATAATAATTAACAGTTATTTATAGTGAAATAATTTGAGTCTTCGCAAGACCACGTTCAAAGGCAGACAAGTTTTTCTTTCATTCAACATTCATAATTTGTTGTTTTTTAATGCTTGACAAAATTAATCAAACAAAATATGTCAATCCAGTCACATAAAATATCAATACATTTTTGTATGTTTTCTATTTTTTCTATAATACATAATTTTATTTATATAATTTCATTTGTGTTAATTTTTCTTGATGTTGCACAATGCCAACAAATTAATATATTCCATGTCTGACAGAATGTTTAAGATGATAGAAATGCATTTACAAATGTAAAAGTTTCACAGAATGACTCACAGTACATATAATGTATCTTTGAGTGACACTGTACTTAAAGAGGAAACGTACCACATTGGTGGTGTTGGGTGAGGCTCCATGATGCGTGAGCTGTTTCACTATGTTCTCATGACCCATAAATGCAGCAACATGGATGGGCGTCAACCCCGACTAAAACAACCAAACAAAACACAAACATACTTTGAAACATATATAAAACTGCTTGTGCTATTACATTTCCCAAGCATATACACTAAAACTGTGTGCATTAAACTCCATTCAAAACTAAACGATGAATTTCTAGTGCTTAGTGTTTCTAGTGATAATTCAATATCACACAAGTTATCAATAAACATTCAATCCTCATATTTCTCTCATACCTCAGTGACTGCCTGCAGTGATGCCCCATGTTTCAGCAGCAGTTCCATCACCTTCACTCGGTTCTTCTTGCAGGCAATATGAAGAGGTGTGAAACCGTTCTGTTGATGTAGACACAAACATGCTCTGCTTGACTGAGATGCCACCACACCCACCTTTACCAGAGGTGGGTAACCACAAAAACCTTCCTCTGGTTGAATAAACCCCCGGTGTTCAGTAATAAAGCTGTGAGTCACTGTTCAAATTAACTGTTTTAAACTTTACATCAAGTTATTTCTGAGGTTCAGGTTTATTTTTAAACTGTCCTGAGAATGTCTCAGTATTACAATGGCAACACGCTCGCATTGTGTCAGCCTCCCTGCCACAACTGTTTTTGTCTTTGTGAAGCGAGAGATTAACATTCATACAGCTACATCTGTTAACAGAGGAAAATGAACCTAGTCACCCCAAGAAAGAAATGCAGAAAGAAAGGAAACAGCACGAGGGTATTTTCTGAGTTTGAATGTGTATGGCTCTCTTTTTCTCTCTGCTCTCACCAGGGCTTTAGCGTTAGGGTTGGCCTTCTTGTCTACGATGACTTTGGCCACTTTGTAATGTCCGCAGTGAGCGGCCACGTGCAGTGCCGTCAGGTAATCATTGGTGACATCATCCACGGGAGCATTGTGCTGAAGGAGCAGCTGGACACAGTTCAGGTGATCCCCTTGGGCCGCCATGTGCAGCGGAGACAGACCGTTCTATAGCAAACCAAAAAATAGCAATGTACATTTAAACAAGATTAATGGAAACAGATAGTGGTTAATCAATGGATTTTTTTTTTGGTGGCAAAATCCAATATCTTGGCTGATGGTCGCCATAAAACTAATACACTTAATTTAATTTTAAAGATAGAAAACAAAATAAATAGGTAAAAAAATATGTCCTTTGCTGCAACTAAATTTAAATTAGTTTTACATAATATTTACTAAATTTTAAACAAATGATTTGAATTTTTTTTTTAATTTGTTAAAACATGCAAAAGATTGCTTTAGCAACTTCTTCATTCTGTAATCTTATCTGGAAAATTAAGGTAACACTAATTTTACAGTATCAGTAAATATGACATGAAGATGCTGGCATTGTCAAAATAAAAGCTTCCAACACTTATCGGCCGAAAGGGAAAAAAAGATCACATATGCAGATATTTAGAAAATGCCAAATATTGATCAATATATGAGCCTTGGCAATACATCAGTTGACTACTAGTGATAGATTAAAATAAAAGTGCAGTCACATTAATGAATTTTGGTGAGCCAAAAATGGTCCATTGTCTATTGTCATTGGTGTAGTGATGTATATAAAGCACAGCTCACAAAGTTGTCACTTTCAAACCAAGCAACTGTCTGTTGCTCATGCTGCAAATTCACTTGACCAACTACTTGGGGAAATCTTTCATCCTCACATGAAATTCTTGATTGCATTGATTTCTACTGAAATTACTAGATTCGCCTTTGAAAATTCATCAAACAATGGTAAATGTGACCACACATTAATGACAAAAAAATAATTTTGAGGGTCTTGTAAGTGTGACAGGAAATTCCTCTTGCTTTGTCACCTAAAGCCACAATCTATGGTGAAATATCAGTTTCCTGCAGTCAGGAGACAATTTGATAGCAAAGAGAGAGAGACAGGAAGAGGGCATGATGAACATGTCGCGTCTGTAGAAACAATGGCCACATGGGGGCAGTCTTGTATGGAAGCATATGCAGAAATTATGGGAAAATTGGTGATCAAACATACTCACACACACATAAAAGGGGCAGAATTATTCTTGGGGTCAGAAAAGCAGTGGTCTTACTTTGGTCTTAGACAAGATGGGAGCTCCCCTGTCCAGAAGCATCTCAACAACCTGCTCATGCCCACTGCGTGCACCGCAATGCAGAGGGGTTAAACCGTCCTATACACACACACAGACACACACGTACAAGCAAACACAAAGATAAAACGTTCTATGGTGAAATATCAGTTTCCTGCAGTCAGGAGACAATTTGATAGCAAAGAGAGAGAGACAGGAAGAGGGCATGATGAACATGTCGCGTCTGTAGAAACAATGGCCACATGGGGGCAGTCTTGTATGGAAGCATATGCAGAAATTATGGGAAAATTGGTGATCAAACATACTCACACACACATAAAAGGGGCAGAATTATTCTTGGGGTCAGAAAAGCAGTGGTCTTACTTTGGTCTTAGACAAGATGGGAGCTCCCCTGTCCAGCAGCATCTCAACAACCTGCTCATGCCCACTGCGTGCGCCGCAATGCAGAGGGGTTAAACCGTCCTATACACACACACAGACACACACGTACAAGCAAACACAAAGATAAAACGATACATAATATTAAAAAGTACACTCTGAGATCATACTCTTAAAAACAGCTGATACAACAGACAAACCTCAGCACCTCCAGATGCTCCACTGACACTACATGCTGACCTGTTTAATATTTCTTGCAAAGCTATTCACTTTATGCAGTAATATATTGCAGTTTACTTCTTTGGATCTTGCCTGAAAGTTACCTTTACCAATGTGCCTATGATGAAGACTTGTTTATTTATTTATTTAATTGTATTTATACATTTATATTTATTTTATGATTTTCGGTCACCAAATTGTATTGTTAAAGTGACATGACGTGTAGCCAAGTATAGTCCCATACTTGGAATTAGTGCTCTGCATTTAACCCATCCAAGTGAACACACACAGCAGTGAGTAGTGAACACACACACACAGAGCAGTGGGCAGCAGTTGGGTGTTCAGTGCCTTGCTCAAGGGTCTCACCTCAGTCGTAGTATTGAAGGTGGATGAGAGCTGTACATTCACTCCCCCCACCTCCAATCCCTGCCGGTACCGAGACTCGAACCCACAACCTTTGGGCTGCAAGTCAGACTCTCTAGCCATTAGGCCATTGTGTGTCTATATAATAAACTGAAACTTGATCTCATCTGTGATATCACTGAGGTCAAAGGGTGAGAACAGCCTAAGAAGCCACCTGACAATTTCCTTAAAGTGAAGCACACTGAAGCACAGATTCACTTAGACAACAACTCTCTTGTTATTCCTGTACAAATAGTATTTTGCCATATGTGTATTCAAAAGTTCAAAAGTTTGGGGCTGGAAAAATATATTTATTAATTAAATCTTTTGAACATTGTGACACTGTAAAAATTGTAAAAATTTAGCTTTGACATTACAGGAATAATTTACATATATAAATTATATATTAAAATAGACAACAGTTCTTTTAATTATTTCACAGTATTACTATTTTTACTATATTTCTGATCAAATAAATGCAGCATTCTTTCAACAACATTTAAAAAATCTTAACAGCCCCAAACATTTGAATGGTAGTATAATTTGTAGTTAAACTTGCAGTTAATTTGTAGTACAGCATGTGCTTATGTGTGTTTGTATGTGTGTTACCTTGGTCTTGGCATCAATTTTTGCTCCTCGGTCCAGCAGCAACTTAACCATGTTTCCATTCCCTCTCTTAGCCGCCACATGCAGTGGAGTGATGTCATTCTGTATGCAACCCACACAAACAGCATAAGACACACAGCAGGTATAAGAGCGACACAATCACAAATTACAATCCCACTTCACAGAGATTAAATCAAAATGACTAAGTATGAAAAAACAATAATATATATTTCTGTGACAAAATACAAAATATTCTAAATGGCATACGACATGCATTGTGACCATGTGCATGTGACCCTCAGGCTGAAGCAGATTCATACATGAGTTTGTTTGGACTGTGCCGACCATATGACAGTTTAGAGAGTTCAGCTGGGAGAGCATTTGGCACATGTACACAGGCACATACTGTACATGTGAGCATGTTTGCTCACAAAGAGCCTTAGGCAGGTCATTTAGCTCATTCACCAGAACACTTATGGAGCATTTTAGGCTTCAGTCTGGTGACAATACTGTACAACATTAATGCAATACTGTCCCCGTGTGATGCTCAGAGGAACTACATGACCACAGTCATAATGAAACCAAGTCTAGCTGCATTTTGAATGGGAATCAGTGCACCTGAATGATCTATTCAAAAGTGTGGACTCCAAAGCATTTAGCATAAAGTCAAAGAGAAGATTTTAACAGATTATGGGGGACCGTTTGCCCTATAATCTGTTAAAATTGGTCAATCGAAGCAGTAGATGGTGTTGTGATTTTACCCTTGCCATGAAGTCCACTGCTGCTCCTCTATTTAACAGTAGTGTTGCTACGTTGATGTTTCCATAGTGGGCGGCAATGTGGAGAGGAGTGAAACCGCTCTGATGAAAAGAAAGACAAAGAACAGAATGGTTAAAACAATTATTTAGCCCATTTAGCTACCTGTGCTTCCTTTAGACATGTCTTTTTGTAAATATGGCTTCAGTTTGGGATTATCTGAAGACAGTGAGTTCTCTTACTACTACATATGATCCTCTTACTACTAAATGATCCTCTCATTTTGAATATGAGACGTAGCTGTTAAAGCAAGATGGAGGTGTCCTGCAGGCCTTCCAGTCATGGAGATTTCCATCTCAATTAGCCAATAATCCAACACAAAGCAGGTGGTGCTCAGCATAACCCTTCCCTGCCTCTGTTTGCGCTCTTATTTCCAAGGGAACGGGGCTCCACCCATTTTGAGGGGAATTATTGCAATTATTAGCCACAGGCGCAAATGGAAAAACAGCAGGGGTTTAAACATTTCCAGTTGCACACTAATAGACTATGACATTTACAGAACTGACTCTAGACTACAGACAACACATACTGTTACCTATGGGGAGAATTGAATAAACATTCTCATAGAGTATCGCGATAGAGTCATCATGATCAATGCATTCAAATTTCTATTCACTCAGAAAACCCTTTAAATGTTTATGCACAGAATTATTTCCTGGGATGAGTTCATGGACTTGGAACATTGTGCTTAGCTCTTTACATGTGCTTGTTACTGTTAGTTTGCAATTTGGCAATGTTCTCTATCATGCAAAACTGTGAACTATAATTCTATCCAGCCAAACTGCTGTTGCTTGCCATGTAAGCAAATCTGACCATGCATTCTTTTTGCAACATTGCAACAATTCTAAACTGCAACAGATTTCGAGCTGTTTCATTGATTTGTCTAAAGGCCCATGCACAAGCTCCAGGGAGGGAGGACTAAACAACCAGACCATCTCATCTCTGTAGCTGGCCAGCCGGGTTCCTCTTTCACAGCCAAACCAAATGAATACAATATCTAATGCTCAAATATATAATGCTCAAAGGAACAACATGCTACTTCCAGTTAGTAATAAAAGCTGTTTAAAAGGTCAAAATTAAAATGTACCATTTTCTCACTTCTACTGTAGCAGGATTTGCCAGTGAAGTGACCTTTGCATTATGTAATACTAATTCTAATGAATTATCTTTGAATCTCCAAAATGCCAGATGGACTTTCACAAACTTTTTAAACCTTTTCACACAGTCCAAAATACTGTACTGCAATTATTCTTGTTTGGCATAAGAAAATCAAACCAGATAATTTTATAATAGTTAAATAGTAAATAGCTTTGTTGCAAAAACAAAAAGTTTGTGAATATTTTATGCTATATTTTATAACGTTATAGGTCTTAAAGACTCCATGAAATGGTTTGACAAATGCCATTTTAATTCCTGCAATATAGACTCTTTAAATTATTAAATTCTAGGTATTTCTTCCACAATCAATTGATGATTGAATAATGAAGGTGGTGGCAAATTATCATTTAAAGGGACACATCAATATTTTGGAGGACTAGATCAATGAAATGAAATAATGAAATTAAATTAAATTAAATTAAATTAAATTGTAGTTGCCTAAAGTTAAAACTCCTATTGTGATATCACGGTGTCCCCTTAAATGTGAGCTATTGCAACGGTAAATAGCTTTGTTGCAAAAACAAAAAGTTTGTGAATATTTTATGCTATATTTTATAACGTTATAGGTCTTAAAGACTCCATGAAATGGTTTGACAAATGCCATTTTAATTCCTGCAATATAGACTCTTTAAATTATTAAATTCTAGGTATTTCTTCCACAATCAATTGATGATTGAATAATGAAGGTGGTGGCAAATTATCATTTAAAGGGACACATCAATATTTTGGAGGACTAGATCAATGAAATGAAATAATGAAATGAAATTAAATTAAATTAAATTAAATTAAATTAAATTGTAGTTGCCTAAAGTTAAAACTCCTATTGTGATATCACGGTGTCCCCTTAAATGTGAGCTATTGCAACTATCATGTTTGATCTACATATTGTCCCGCAAAAGTACCCTAGATCTAGTGATATTTTAATTCACATGTTGAGGTAACCTTTTGTGAAAACCTCTCTACAAACAGCAATATCTCATCAATGGGCTCTAAAAACTGAAACACTTGAATTAACAGTTTATATTCACCAATATCAACATCATTGCCAGCAACCACACAAAACCACTGACACAAAACTCTTATAACCAATCAGAAAGCTGCATGTTGAGATGTGGAACCCCGGCCTGTAGCTGCAGAAATCAAAGCATGCTTCAGCCCTCCACCCAAAGCATGATCTCATTCTTCTATCCCCAGAGAGGGAGGGCACATAGCCAATAGGAGAAGAGAAAACAGGAAATGATACAAAAATAGAGATGGTACAACAAGGGTGGGAGCAACACTAGGGGGTGTTCTAGGCAAAGCAGGGGTGGAGGTGGGGGTCAACAGCTTAATGTTTATCATGGGTATACCTCTGTCGTTCTATTCACCATCATCTATGTTGAGACGTGAGGAAAGGAGAGAATGGGCAGTTAGTGAACACTGACAGGTAAACGAAAACAAAGAAACAAAATACACATATCTAAAAACAGGACTAAGTGTGGGTGAGCGAGTTAGAGGAAAAAAATAACACATAAATCACAATTAAAAGCAAAACATATACAGTATATGATCATCTGCTCTCGATTACATTATAAAAGAAGGTGTGTGCATAAGAAATACATTTATTTGACCAGCATGATTCTGTTTCAGTAAAAACCTTGGGATTTAAATGAAATAAGTGAGACACAGGCAGTGGCGGCGTTTCACAAAACCATAGGGTATTGCAGTGGCGGCGTTTCACAAAACCATAGGGTATTGCAGTGGCATACATCGCATGGGGGGGGGGGCAGTGGGCACACCACTATGCACTGAAATGGCACAATTTCAGTGGCATACCACTAAGCACTGAAATATAGGAAAAAGGATAGAAATACAATTAAACACTGCGTCATCAGAGTTGGTAATGTGGCTTTATCAGACACTTAACATTTTATGAAAATCAAGATCAAATGGAGTTGGTTTTTCAGACGGAGATCTGTGTTTTGTCTGTCATTAGAAGGACTGTATCTGAGGCAGCTAGCGGCACCAGAATTAGTGCTATTTCGGTGAAAAGGGATTAGAGAATGGTTGAATACACTCAAATTAAAATGCTACTTTTAAATGTTGCATTTTTTATCTATATATTTAACCCATATTTATCCCATATTTAACATTAACAAAACATAAAACATTAATGGAGCATGCAAACAAGACATAAGGACAATAGACTGAAGAAAAAACATATAGGCCTAGATAACGAGACCAGATAACGAGATTTTTTTTTTTTTACCATTTGTAACAATTTTCTATATTTAATACAATATTTATAACTGAACACGAATCAATGAACAAAATTTCGTGACTATGGCACGTAGTGCCTTGAGATCGAGCTGAAACAGAACAAAAGTAAAGGCCTATTGGCTACAACTAGACGGCAAACGCTAAGACCCTTCTCCGCTCTTCAGACACACACACAAAATATTTGCCTTTACAGACATAGTGTTTCAGTAAAGAAAACGCTGCACTTATTCAAACATCAGTTATTTATTTACCCTTGCATTGCGAATAAGCGGAAATCGGTCTCCAGGCTGTGCGAGGCACTTCATTCTGAATGGAGGCGGGGTGGAGTTATGAGGTTTCGTTGACAGTTTGAGGATCAAATGACGTTACAAACTTTAGTGACAAGCTCTTTTGAATGTAATTAATTATAAATTAAAGTGAAAAGTTGTATTTGAATTACTTCATATGCATGAAACATGAACCATTGCTGCAGTAACCAGACAGCCAGGTTGCCATGGCAAATCTGTCATTCTTAATATTTTTGAAATCATCTGAGATTTCCCCGGAGAGGGCAGACCCCCATTACACCCCCTTCTATAACCTCAGTGACCCTGTTCCCATGGCAACACAGAGATGCTGACAGTGCAGGTAGGAAAGGGCAATACTTTGTGATGATGGAGCATCAAGCAGAGACACAGACTCAGGCCCCTTCATAATCATGTTTATCTATTCTACAGTTGGGAAAATAATTATTTTAACTCCTGCTGATTTTGTCAAGTTTGACCACTTACAAAAAAATGAAGGGTCTATAATTTTTATGGTAGGTTTATTTTAACGGATAGAGACAGAATATCAACAAAAAAATCCTGAAAAAAAACACATTATATAAAGGTTATAAATTGACAGTAAATAAAATAAGTATTTGATCCCCTACCAACCAGCAAGAATTCTGGCTCCCACAGATTGGTTACGTGCCCAAGTGGAACACAGATTAGTCCTGTCACTTTAAGAAATTACTCCTAATGTCATCTTGTTATGAGTATAAAAGAAACCAGTCCATAGAATGTGTATCTTCCATTCAAACCTCTCCCACCACCATGGGCAAGACCAAAGAGCTGTCAAAG